AGTGGTTCCATATTTCTTGATTTTCACCTACTGTAGCTTGACATTCAACAGGTTAAATCGCCTGTGCCCAATGGACTCTCTCACTAATGAGGTGATTTTGTGTTCATGCAACGACCAGAAAAAGCAATATCCAGAATTTGAATACTTATTTTTTCATAAAACTTACACGAAAGGAGTAATAATCCTTTCAATGCTCAGTATAAAAGTATATGAAATGATAACATATTAAAACAACACACAGTACCTATAATACAAGTGGTGCAGATTGCCTGTATCTTTTGATGGAGGAGGATGACTAGGGTCACACTCTGCCCACGATAACGAAGGCAAAACCATTTCCCTCGGGAGCAAGCTATGTGTCATATCAACAGCCAAGTCCAACAGTTCCTTCACAATCCCCCGATGCTGCCTGCAGCATATTTCATCTTCTCCTCACAGCTGGCTTTCACTGACTTTCAAGCATTGAAGCCTGACAGTTGCTGTGCTGATCCAAAGGACCTACAAGCCCATATTCCAGCCCCTGGCACTTTAACATCACGTCTAATCAGGGATCCTTGTTGCTTCCACATTCGACTCTGTTAATTCTCTAGGGGAAAGCAGCCAGAAAACAGAGTAATAGGATCAATTTTCATTCCAAGTTCAATTCACAGTCCATTTCTCTGGAACCTTACACTTTACAAATAGCTGGGCTTTTCAGAAACTCAATTTCAAGGACCCTGGGAGACATTTAAAAGCAATTTTAAGGTACCCACGTTGATATTTAAAATTCGAAGATGAGACAGGAAACGTAAGGTTTCAAGCCTCCAATTTGTTTCCTGCATGTTCTCATGTGCCAAGCATAAATAGTGGAGAATTAAAAAAATACAATACAAGGGACAAAAACAGAAGGGCACTGATCAGGACATTGTGCTTAAACAAGAAACGGATTATATCCTTAAAACACTCTGACTTGGAAGCTCAGTTACAGTCTGTGTAATAAAAAATAAAGGTAATATTTTCATGCAATTAGTCGGATTATGTTGAAGCAGTCAGGAAATGGATGGATATTAAAACATTATTTATAGATGAAGTACTGTTTTCGTTATTTTCTTGCTGGCAAGACTGACTCTTTCCTACTGTCGTGTTGGGAATACAGAAACTACAGATGCAACATCAGCATTTCTCTTCAAAATACACAAAAATGCATATTCCTTTATTTCCCCACAGCCGTGCAAACAAAAAATTTAATCTTATTTTCTCTGTCACCCTCACTTGAAATTAAAATGCCAAGCCTTAGTAGAGGAAGTGACTAGTGCAGCTCTGCGGGTTGTTAGTCCCATACCTTTATGCAAAGTGGTACAGTACCTATCATGCTGACTTTATTAAAACAGGCAACAGATCATTAGGGACAAGGCCACTAAAACACGTCTGTAGTATGGTAAGTCTACCTGTCAAGTAAGCTAAATTTTCACCCGTGTCCCAGCAGAACATAAAGTCACTACAGTACATACAGTATGCTGTTATTACACATCACATTACATTTCATTGGACTCAGGACAGAAGATTAAGACAAAAGGTGATGCAATATTAAATCAGGAATCACAAATAAAATAATACAGCTATATATACACATACACACACCTTTGAAACCGGGTAGTTTATTTACGTATACACTATGTTTGTACTAAGATGTTTATTAACGGTAATTAAAAACTAAAATGATTTTTAAAAGCACAATGTATAAAATTTTACAACTCATATCTTTTAAGTCCATCAGACACCTAGGTACGGCGCAAGAAACAAAATTGCGGTTAACGTTGTTGTAAGGACAAGGTGTCAACTCTAAACAGGCCACCTTCACATTCAGAACATTACATCTTTGACAAAGGTAAGATGTGAAAAGGCCTTTTATACCAATGTCAAAATCTTTGACATTCAGAAGACTTACAGGTAACAATAGTATACAGTATGTATGCCATTCTTTGCCACACAAGAACCATTCTGCAACTTGAACTATAAATAATATTTTACAGGCCAACTAACGTAGTGGCCAGAAATGACGACAACTTCTGTGATAAATAATTAAACTGAGCAAGGAGAAGGGGTGGAAGGGCTAAGACTAGTATTTTGAACACACAATGCTGTTTTCCATTGTAAGCCTGTCTTAATTATGTTACACATTGGACAGTTGGTTGTTTTATCTACTGTTTTGATCAAGACAAAATTTACTGAGTCAAGTGAGAATTCAAAACAAACATTATTTTACCAAAAAGTTTTGATTTCTGCCTGACTATAATAAAGGCAATGTTGTGGGACCAGTTTTCATCAAATCTGGAAAATGATAAATAGGGCTAAATTAATTTACATATGGTAATTAAGGCACCTTTTCCTGTAGATGCATTGTGGCTGAATATAAACAAATGAATGTCGAGCAGAGCTGGGGATACTGTTCAACAAGATGAGAAAGCTTTCAGCATGCTGCACGCGGTTAATTGTCTTCTCTCTATGTCTAAGTGTCTGTCAGTCTATCTAATCAAATTTGCATGTAAAGTAGTAAAATTAACAAACAGTCTCTCCCCTCAGATTCATCATGTCTTGTAACACTGGGTTCTGAACAAGTACTGTATCTGCATATCAGTAAAGTTATTTATTATTTCCCGGTAACACATCCACACTTGTACAACAAAAAAAATATTTTTTTTAATTAAAGTATTTAACTTTAATACAAGTAGCTGCACTATCTTGTTATATACAGTATATACATATGAATCATTTTACAATGTAAGCAAATCGTTCCAGGATAGCTTCTTTCGTATTAGGACTTTAACTTGGATGAGGTTTTCTCACTGTTTTGACAATTAATTTGTTAAAATCAACCTTTACGGTACCAAAGAAAAAAGGCTCTACTGAAATACAGTAAGTAAAAAGAAGCTGATTAGAAGCCGATATATTGGGAGATATATTTCTATGCTGTGGCATTTATAGGTTATTGAGTCAATTAGAAAAACTGACATCACATATGTTTAGTAAA